CACGGACCATGCTGTTTTCGGTCATCTTGATAAAAAAAAAATTAGATTTTTTTTTTCTGCTTTAAACAGGTAAAGGACCTCTAAAAGACTACTACAATGGACTGATAAATAAATTGCACTTTAAACATATCCAGATCTGTACACCGTGGCTTGAAGCTGAGGATTACCCTCTTTTGCTTGGTAAATAGTGGATTGTGAAACGGGCTTGGGAATGTGTGAGGAACAGCTTAGCACAGTTGCAGAGAGCTAATACCGATTTTGTAGAGAAGCTGAATTGCTGATTTTCTCTACAGTTTTTCGCTGTTATCCCAAGGAGCAGGTGTGGTACTGGTGTTGCTGGTTTAGCCTGTTCTTTGTACTCTTTGTTTCTTCTAAATGTGTTGAAATACAGTGTGTGTGTCCCGGTTTACTTTCAGGGTCACTTCAGTAAATGAAATCATAACATTGTTGGCTGAGCAACCGAAAGTAGCTGAAATTCTAAATGAATGTGTCCTTGGAATAACCGTATTCCCTCAGCATGTTCATTGTATTAGCATAAAGTGTGAGTAAGTGTAACAAAGGAGTGAAATACATACTCAACTTGATTGATTATTCTCAATTCTGCAGGGTTAGAGTTTACCCATTTGTATGGCTGGAAAACACTTTATTTTGTACTTTTTAGCTCAGGAGTATAATGTCTGTAAAATCACACTGTAATTTCTCTATTTTGCAATCACCTGCACTGGAAGAGGTCGCTAGTGAGCCGTGCAGCCTATCCTGGGTGTGGGTTGTGATGGAGCTTTCCTGTGCACTTACCCATTCTCAGCAGATTAAGAGGCAGAAAGGCTGTTTTAAGATAAATGAAATTTAGAAATTCCCTTTAATTTAATATGCACTCGCCTGGTATGTTTCTAAAGCCTGGCTAATGTTAGTCATAAAATATATTGTGCTTTTTTTCCCCCCTGAGTGCTTGAAATGGAGTCAGTCTGCGTGGTGTTGAAGGTAGCTCCTGTTTAGCTTGCATCACCCAGAGCAGTACAGAAACAGAAAGCTTCCCAGTAAGACCAGAAGAGCTGCTTTCAGCAAAGTCAGCCTGTTGTCTTTTGCTTTTCAGGCTCAGCAGACCTGGGGGTGTGTCTTCATAAATCATCCAGTGGGTTGGATTTACCCATGAAGGTGGTAGACATGTTTGGCTGTTGTTTACCTGTGTGTGCAATACATTTTGAATGGTAAGAGCTTGCTTATCCTGACCCAGTTTAAGTGGACCATGTAAAGCAGTATTCTTGCACAGCAGGAGTTCAGCAGCTACTGCATGTGTCAAGTGAGAGTCCAGTATGATGCCATAATAACTTTTTTAAAATTCAATAAGATAAGTTAGAAATCAAGGTTGTTTTATTTTAAGTTAAAAAAATTAACACTAGTTTCTACAAAGCTAGGAGTGTTTAATGCAACCACTTGCCTTAAAAAATAATGACCCTGAAATCCTTTATTTCAATGTGCTGCTTTAAAAAAAGCTTCCTTCTGCAGAGATGGGTCTCTGTTCTGTGAAGGGGGAGTGAGTGCACAGTCAGTCTGGGAATTTATGGTCCTTTGGGGAAATAGTAGCTTTTACAAAGAAAGGTACATTCTCTGTGAAGGTCTCATGAACTGGCTCATGGACAGATTTTCTTTGAGGGTTGGTTTTAAAGTCGATTATTGCCCTGTTTTTTAACGTGTGTCCAGGTGAGCGGCACAAAGACAGAGCAAGGGCCGTTTCGGGCTGTAATGGTAAATTTAAATAGTCAGACATAGAAGGGAGAAACAATCTTTGAATTTAAATGTTTAAAACTGCCTCTTCATTCCGTTTTGTCAGGTGTGAAGCTGGTATCAAGCCCTCCGGGGTTGTTATGTTCCAGATACCTGGTGTGGTCTGTCTGGGTGTCAGTGTGCAACTTCGTAAATGTCTCTGTCCCTTGCGCTGCTTTTTGTCTCACGTTTTCTTATGACTTTTGTTCACAGTTTACACGAACTTGTGAAACACGATGAAAATGGTCTGATCTTTAGGGACTCGAATGAACTTGCAGAACAGCTAAAGGTAAAGGCTTGGCGGGTTTTTCCTTTCCCACTGGCCGTAACTGCAGAGGTGCCACTGTGTGGGCCAGCATTCCACGTCAGGGTGTCATCTCTGTGTGTTGCATTCTCAGAAGATACTGCTTTGCCTGGTGAATGTTGTTGGCTTCACTTCTGTTTAAATACGAATCCGAAGCTGGAAAGAACATTTTAAATATTGTCATTGTTCACTATTTATGAGGCCAGACCAAAGAGGGCACTCTCACTGCAGCATTGCGGTTGAGGGTTGACACTGGGGAGGCTAGAATGACCCTAAAATGTACTATGATGGTATTTGCCTGTCTTTTTCCTTCTTAACTTATAGATGCTTTTCTTGGGATTTCCTACGCTGGAAGGCAAACTTCACAACTTCAGAAAAAACCTTCGTGCATCCAAGCAGCTGCGCTGGGATGAGAGTTGGGACCAGATTGTTCTTCCTTTGCTTGGGCAGAGTGAATGACTTTTTGCAGGGGAGGAGGGTGTCAAAAAAAGCAAATACGTTCCTGGAGCTGCACAGATTTGATAAATAGCGAATAAACCCTTTGTGTTGTCTGTGGGTGCAGTTTTTAACTACTTCCCCTTGGGGCACGTGTTGGGACACACCGCGTCCTTTACGATTGGAGCTTCTCGTGCAAGTAGCGGTAGTGCTGAAGGCGCGGCAGAGGCTGCGGGTAGTGTGCCGCCTGGGTGTCGGGGGGGCATATGGTTCCTGTGCCAAAGAGCTGGAGCTTTGCTGTCTGGGCTGCCTTGCCCTCCTTGGCACTTGGGAGGAGCCTTGAGAAAGTGGGAGGGAGGTTTAGTTGCTTTAGGAACTCGTATGTGCAAAATCCGTTGCCTGTGCTGCTTAAGGGTCATTTTTGGTGAAGATCCTTGAAGGCAGACGTAAACTATTACCACTCGCACAGTGAGCATTTTCGTAGGTGATTTGGGTGTGTTTTCTTGCAAATGGGAGATGCCTTTTGTCTGAATTGGTTTATTTGCACTGAGGATACAGGGGGTGTTATCTTTTCAGCCAGTCAATACTCTTGGCCAGTCTTCCCTGACGAGCGTGAATACTGCCCTGTATGACTTTACCGAGACAGAGCCGTTTCGTGCCAGAGTTGTTTTACAGTGTGTGCACGAATGTGAAAGCGCAGCCGCCGGCGTGCAATGGCTTTGTGGAACACTTAGAGGAAAACTGACCCTTCAGCGAGCGGTGTCCTTGTGCACTGACATCGACGTGCCCGTTTACCTTGGGAAAGAACAAACAATAGATCCCTTTTTGAACAGGTGAAGACAAAAGTTAAAAGTAAAACCAACAGGTATTATTAATGTATGTCTAACCTAATAAAAGGGCATGTCGCTTCCTGATGCTCACTCAGGTGCACCCTTCCCCCTTTCCCTGCTCATGTCAGTGTTCCCAGGCAGACCTGATGCTTTTTGCATCACCTTTTTGAGTCTAAAATGGATGTCGGTCACTTATGGAATAAATGTGCTTGGTTTTATCATGTGGGCACTGCTCAGAGGTGGTGGATGATTACAGCGGGTTCTCGACTGAAGTATGATCCATAAAGATTTACTTGCTGATTTTTATAGATTTTCTTTTTTCTCTGTTGTTTCCGAACAAAGCCCTGTCCCATGGTTTGGCCATTCCCTTGTAGCCGGTGATGCGCACGTGGAGGTGGATGAGGCACTTCTCCAGTTTCTTCGAGTCACTTGTCTAGTACTGCTGTAGTGCCAGAAGCTTTAGAGAGGTTTCATCTTTGTATAATATTTTTCAAGATCCAAAATGAGCCCTCTGTACATAACTTTTGTGTGACCTGAAGAATTTTGTCTGAGGGGAGGTAAAGGAGCTCCTGTTTGGGCTACTAGCACGATGTACTCTGTAACTAGTACCTCCGAATTCTTCCTTCTCAGGAAGAGGTAGCGGAAACCTGGGCTGGGGTTGCTTCTGCATAGCTAACTGAACGCGAGCAGTCGTGGCCCCCTTCAGCTTGAAGAATAAGACCCTTCAAGTTACCTACTGTCCCTTTTCTCTCCAGTGCTACAGAAGGAGGTGGCTAAAGTGTTCATTTTCTTTTCTGGAGCTTTTAAAACAAGGTACAGAAAAGGGAGTCAAAAAGAGGAGAAAGAGCAGCATATTTGGCTTCCTGCTTCAGGCCCAATACTGTTCCACAGGAGTGATCAATGGATTACGGAAAGTTTCAAAGGTGAGTGCAGTTCTTCCTCCTTGCGGTGTACGTAGCACGTCGCTACAGAGTACGAGTCTCTTTATTTCCTGGCTTCCCAACAGCCAGCTGCAAAAGTGGCAGGCCTTCTGTGAGAGAACTGTAAGTCCAGTTCTGAGTTTTGTTGTTGCTGTGGAGTAGGGCTGCACCTCACTTAGAGCAGTCTGGCCTCCTCCTCCTCCTCCAGCATCACGTAAGGTCCTGACACCACCTGCTAGGTTCACTGCGGGCATTACTTGTTAGTGATTTTTAAGCTAAGCCACACTGCAAGTATATACAGACAAGTATAAAAAAAGAGCAGGCAATTACAGCTGGTTTTAATGTTAAAAAATAGTTTATTACCATGAAACATTGTTTTGCTCCCTTGTCAGTGTGACATACTCATCCTGTGAGCCCGCAGATGTGCCTCCATAATTCACAAATCAAAACACAGTTGGAAAAACCCCACATTTCGATTCTGTTGTCTTCCACAGAAGCAGAGTGCAGTACGATTGGAGCTTTTTTTATCTGCTGCTTGAGGTTCACAGACACTTGTCGGGGGCAGCAGCTCTGTGCAGACATGCCGGCAGTTACAGGAAGAACCGTAACTCTGTGATGACAGTGTGTGTGTGTAGTTGTATCCTTGGTGCCGCTCCTGTACATTTCTAGAATTCAAGATAATCTTGTTGCAAGGACGAGAGTGCTCCTCTTGGTCTGAAAATTCTGATTGTACCCTATTTGCCAAGTCTATATAAACAGCTGTACAATAGTGATGTTTGGCTGCACGTCATAGAGAAAAATACTGTTGCTGGGGGCTGGAATAATCTGCCATCTGATCCCAACTCTATCTGCAAAGAGAAACGCTGGGAATCACATTTCTGCTTAATAAAACGAAGAGCAAAAGTTGCATGTCGGGTTTTGTACGAACAGATCGTTACCAAGCTGTTACAGCAAGCTCCAGGCAAACGCTCACAAGTGGGGCTTTTAAAAGTTAACAGCAAGGCCTCTGCTGTGCACTCAGCAGGACTTTGTGAATGAACCACCTGTAGAGCAGCTGCACAGCTACTGCAAAACACAGGCTTGTGAAGAGCGTATGAAGAAAAATCCCAAATCCCTCCCTATTTCATTTAATCTCTAGCTGGGTTTTTTAGCCCTGAAAGAACAGTGAAGGCAAGAGAAAGGTTTTAGGCTGCAGCTTGAATGTTATCACTGGGGCAGTGCAGCACAGGTGGTTTTCCTCCCTTAAGCTTAACCCTTTTTTAGCTGCCTGTTGCACCACGCTTGCAATTCCTCTCGGGTCGCTGCTAACAGATGTGAGCTGTGATGGGCACGATGTAGCCAAAAGCTACGATCCAACGGCCTGATCAAATCCACATGGAAAAGTTTCTGCTCTTGGGCAGACTGCTCTTAAACCCAGCGCTGGGATAAGAATCTCCCTGCAGGACAATACCCATTGCCACAAAATTCATCTCTACCATGGATTAAGTGATGATGCACTTTGTGAGACAGGCACCTACCGAGTTCAGCCTGGAACAGGCGATACGTGTCTGGATTCCGAATGGCGAAAGCAATGTAGACCTCGGGAGGTTTTCTGTCTGCTCTGGGAGTGGAGAATTTTTGTAGCATACCAATAAGGGCTACGGTTACCTCTGGATCATATACCACATCTGCACGAGAAGGAAAACATGCAATATTTATGGAGAATTCAGCAAAAAGGAGAATGAAAACTACAGACCAAAAATATAAAATATTCACCTCACAGGAGAATACAATTTTTGTACTCTGTTAGTTTCCCAAGAAGAGAGCTTAGACAGTGCCTCTCTTTGACATGCTATGTCAAGCTGCCCTCATCTCTGATACCAGTCCAAAATGGCTAAAAACCAGTGCTCCTTTTTGTAAGGGGAGTGTCAGACACTGTACTTAAGCCTGTCTAAAGGGAGACAGCAAAAGCATTGAGTGTTGGTGCTCTGCTACGGCTGTCCTTGGCGGAATGAAACCACGTTGGTCAAAATCCGTATTTTAGAGCCTGAGTGGAAGAGACTGGATTTGAACTGCAGTTGGTTTTAATCATTTCCTTGGGAGCAGAAATCGTGATGAAAGGTAAAACCCATCACTTGGGGGTACGAAATGTCAGTCTGGCTAACGACCACGGGGATTCCAAAACGTGTCTGTCGTGTTCAGGACTGACACTCCAGAGGTGGTGGTGGTTCATCGCACAGGGATGGGGAGGTGCGTGTACGCGCTGCTGGCACGTACCACTGGCACACACCGCTGGCTCTCGATGCAATAACGAGGGAACGTCCTGCAGTACCCCGTGACGGCAAACAGCCCCTACGTATAAATCACCTTCCGGCGTGAGTTGCCTTCATGAGTCGGACTTGGGCTGGTTTGTGCATTCTCTGAACACTATGGTTGGTGTTGGGTGACACGCGGTGACTTCATTTCACAGAATTCATGTATTTAATGCATCATGTGATACCTTTGATGACAAAGGCAGTATATTTTGTCATTTTTTTCACCTGAATTCTTATGTGACTTTTGCTTTGCAAAACCCCAAATCAGGGAGCAAAACCCTGTAGCGACAGCCAAGAAATGTTACTATTGCTAGATTTTCCATTATTCTATTTTCTATAAACTCCCTCCAGATTTCGACATAGGCAAGTTCTAAAAAAGGTTTGTGTTACCTTTGTTGAGTTTTTTAATATGTTATCCCTCCAGAGAACGCCAAGATTGCCTGGTATCATTGATGGGGCTCCTACGAGTGACAGATTTATCATCTGTTTCTGGATTTAAAAAAATCCAGAAGGGAAAAATAACTTGCTGCTTGGCGTTACGTACACAACTGCTGAACGCCTGAAAGGGACAAAATGGTGAGATGAACTGGGAGAAGCTCCGTCACACGCTGCCCGATTCGGTAACTGAAGCGGGGCTGAGCGAGTCCCGCACACGAGCACCTTCGTGTTTCTCTGACCTGGTTATTGCCGCACACAGGGAGGCGTGATCAGAAGCGTAAAGTACCTGCTGCAACGACGACGTCAGGGTGAAGATCCCACAGTTGGTTTTCTGTAACCGAGCCCCAGTCGAGTTCTGCAACCATTACTTTTGGTTTTTGGCAATTTGCTGCTTCTGCCTTCTGGCTTGGGGACTCCACTTGGATAGGACGAGGACCTTCAGGCTCCAAGGCAAAGCCATTCAAACGGATGTTTTCTGCCAGCTGTTGGAGGACGCCGGGGTGGCAGTCACTAAATACGTACGTCTGGGGATTGCAGGTTTTGCAGATTGCAATTCCAGTGAAGCCAATCCCACTTCCCAGCTCCAAGACTGTCCTGAAGAGTAATGGAGTCACAGAAGTACTTATCAGGACTCTAAAGGGAGTCAAAACATGCCAAGTCTATCGAAGGGTAAAATCAGTTACAGGTTATTTCAACATTTTTTGAGTAAACCATCTACAATCTAATCATTGTCTCAAATAACTGGGAGCGTTGGTAAACGCTGAAGATGCAACTGTAAGCATAAAAATTAATTACTTGAAATACTGCTTTTGCATACGGTACGAGGCATTTCCTCTATGGGGAGGAGACACGTTCCCGCCTGGTTTTAGACTTCTGTCTCCATCTAAACCGGCTGTCCAGCTCTTTTCGTACTCAGGGGGGAGAAACAGACACTGCGGCAGCGCAGTTCCTTTCCTTGTGAGGTCAGTATCTTAAATTAACTTCACTGAATTCCTCCAAAGTGCTTGTTCCTCCTGACTGCTTAGCAACAAAGCCGAGAGGATGAGATCAGATGTGCTCCCCCCATGGAGCAAGGCGCACTAGACCAAGTTACTGGCTAGACAGCGCGGCAGCAGCTTTACAGAGCAGGTCAGGCTGCGTGGGGTTGTGGTTTTGATCTTAAGACCAGTCTTAAAAGAACTCCAAGGTCCTCTCCTGGATTAAAGTTTGACTGTTGCAGAACAGACGAGAGCAGCAGTCATCCAGTAGCAAAAAGGTGTAGTCATTTCTGTTATTTTGGGGTTAAATATTGTATATTATTACATTACAGTTCAGCAGCTCACAATATGAATAATGAAAATACCATTCCTCACCTTTCCATCAGTGCTGTTACCTGTTACTGAAAGCCGCAGCGTTCCCTATTGCCCATTCCGCGAGGTGAAGAGCAGCGTCCCACGTGACGAGCCCCGTGGTTCCTCCAGAGATAATGGCCACGCTCTCGGACAGGGTAACACATTCTCCCGTGGGCTAGAGGACACGCGGGAAGGCAAAGAGGGATCAGCACAGACAAGGGGTTTGACAGTTTAGAATCAATGTCAGCGCCTGGAAAAAGGCAGGAAGCACTCTGGGTTTCGGGGAGTTAGTTTTAAAACCAATTATTGTTTAGTTGAGATAATTAAAAGTTACTTATAACAATACAGTGTTAGTTCTCACCAGTAAGTAGTTTTTGTAACAGTGAGTAGATTCTTCTTCACTTAGAATATCTGCCAGTGCGTCGTACAGTTCATCCAGGGGTTCGGCTGCTGTGGCCTCGTGCTGCGCGGAAGAGAACGGGCCACGTTCGGGTGTCAGATTGTCACAAAACAGAACATGTACACGCAGCGAGTCCCATTTTACTACATTGTTGGCCATAAGATTTTACACTGAATGCTATTTTTTGTTAATACAAATAATTCAGCTTGGCCCACAATATAAAACTGGCATATTTTCATGGGGGGAAAAAAAAAAAAAAAAAAAAAGAGTTGCAAGCAACATGAGAAGCTGGCACTACCTTTTTGATGAGTTCGGTTAGAAAGCTCCTCCTGTACTTGGTGGAAGGAGGGTACTTGACACACAGAGGGTGGAGAACGGTCTAAAACAACACAACAACAGCTGCGATTGAAACCAACGGCCAAGTGAGGGTTTTATGAAAGGCCGCACGGGCCAGAGGAGGAACGCGGGGGCCATGAACGGGCTCTTTGTGCCGTGAAGTCGCCACGTGAAAGTGATGCTGAGCCGGAAAACAAAGTTTGGCGATTTCTGACCGGCTCGGTAGCGCACGGGTCCGCGGCAGCGCATGGGTTTCTCATTTTCTCAGAGTAAACAGCACCATCGAGCGGAATGGCAGCCCCGTCAGCTCTGGCTGGCTCTCCCCTTCCCTCTTTT